TGTATTTCTGTGCTCCGCACATTTTGTGACGTGCAACAGTTGCCGTTCGTCGACTACATGACGCCTTATGCATGCGCTGTGAGGCTTGCAGATATCGCCATTCGTGGACTAATAGGCCTTTGCAAACGTTTGCTAGAGCAAAAAAAGCAGTTGTTTCTATCAGTAAATGTCTCAAAAACGGAAAAAACAACTTAAACGGCCCGAAACATTAACAGAGAAACAATTGAAAACGGGACTAAGGCCGCAAATAATAAAGAGAAACACATAAAATAAAATAAGAAACCCGGGACGTTTCGCAAGGATCACACCCGCATTTTCAACCGGCAAAACAAGATAAATTAAAAGAAAGGGCACTATGAGCCTCACCGTTATTATAGTGAGACTCAAATAACATAACAGTCATTTCGTAGCTACGTTTTTCCTACGATACTCGACGTATCGTTTTGCAATGGTTCCAACCATATGACAACAGCTGATTTTTGCCGCCTTTGAACACTCCGATAGCTATTAGTGATGCTTTTAAAGGAACTGTCTCGGTAGCTTACCAAAACCTGATACGACACCCGTAACTTTGCTCAAAACGACCATAATACTGTATTTTATTGATTTTTAGAATCTCATGCGTCAATCCAAACCTTGTCGGTCGAAAAATATAGCGTGCAAAATTCTCCGTCCAAGCATTGAAAAAGGACTACAAAAAAGTATAAAATGTAAATTTTTCCTCTTTGTATGCAATAAAATCCGAATACTTTTATAGGTGCTACCCCGTAAACTTAAATTCACAGGCTGTGACTCACAACATTCTGCACCCATAACAATATCGTATATCGCGTGTTTTATTACGGAACAAACAACAAACAGCGACGACCAAGTTATTTCCACGTGACAGTAATATACTTTTTTCATCAGCGTAAAACACGTGTTCGTATGATCGGGCCGTTTTCCACCGCTTTCGTTCTGCTAAGAAAACGTCAGTAACCAGCAGCTCCAGGAGGTAACTGACCAATCAGAGGGCGGAGAAACGACCAGGAACTTCAGAACTCGTAAAATTAAGAAAAAAGAATTCAAAACGGATTACAGCGGCTAACAGTTTTTTATTCTTCGAAACGATACGTTTTACATGTGATTTGTGGGAAAAGGGGCAGTCCCGATATTATCTCAGGCCCACACTTTAGAAAATTAAGGTAATTTGATGTCCGCCTGGATGTGGCAGGGCAAGATCGTAGTTCAAAATTTGCCGGGAAGTTCCGTTCAATTACCACGGAACTCGCGCGGGTAATGATTCTTTGGCTTCGTTTCAGGTCATATATTCCATTTATGACCGTCATTGACCGGCAGCGTGGCACGAGATTATGAACCCGTGAGTTTCCTCGTCTGCTAACAACTCAATAGCTCTTCCGGACGCGCGCGAAAATGAGGCAAAAACCTAATGACATCATTCCGTGTCTCCTCCTGACCTTTCACTTTCTGTCTTTTCCACTACCACGCTTCATCTTTCGCATTTGGATCACATATTGCAATAAAGAACCACTATATCTCTGGCTCTCCCGTAAAAGCACATATCTGCATAGGGAAACTTTTTTTTTTTTTTTTATTCATCAAATTATGTTACAACCCCCTGTTTACAAGTATAAATTAACCTTGTTTTACAAATATAATAACAAACAAATTAACTATTTTTAATTTTCATTTTTAACTTTTGTATGTATAACCTATTCTCGCACAGCACCCAGACTACATTCATACACCTTAAAACTAGAGTAGTGGATTAGAAAAAAGAATTACAATAAACAATGAAAAATAAATGAGAGAGATAATAAAAAAATAGGAACATTTGCATGTACATAAACATGAATTACTTTTGCTTTCATGCGGAATCCATGTCCACAAAAGAATTCTGGCAATTAGGTTGTTAAGGACCTATTTTTTGTAACAAAAGGACCTATTTTTTTTAACAAAATAGGAAAACTAATGGCATGTATGCTGTTTCTAAAATGGGCCAGAAATAGTGGTTCCTTATTGCAAAATGTAATCAATTTATTCGTGACGGTGCATCATGCGTTGTTGCTTGAAGAGTGTGTTATGGTTGTATAAGCGAGAATTCGAATTTTTCTCCTAGGCACTCATTTCATCAAAAATTATTTTTGATAAAATTTAGGAATATAGAAGACAAGCGCAAACTGTTCAAATGACCTCCCGTAGCAAAAAAATTTCCCGTTGTGTGATTCGTTTTCCTCGGGAAATTTTGCAGTGGAAACTTGCGAGATGCCTTAATTCACACCTTGTCTGGAGGCCCATTCAGGAACGCTCCCAGGAGACTTGGACGCGGGGTAGAAAAGTAAGCGATTCAACTTTTGGTGTCTCGCATACAAAATGGAAGAGTAATCTGTTTAAGAGTATGATATTAAATGGAAAAGTTTTCTCGTCAGTTTCCTCGTTGTTTTTCTCCTGAAATTTCTTGATTAAATTATATAATTTCCAAAACTTGTGAACATCTTTCTTCTGATTTTCTTAAGCAATTTATTCGCAATTGATCCGCAGTATGTGAAAATTGCAAAGAGAAATATTCACAACTTCTCTAACAAACAAATATTTTATCAGTAGAAATTCAGCAACGACCAATTGTTCTTTCGGCATTTTTCGTCAGCACAGCAGAATAGACCTTCCCACCTGTGGCGATTCTTGATAGTTGGCAGCACTGTTTCCCCTCCATTTAAATGTATGTAAAACAATCGATTCTCGATGATGCAGCCTGTTGCATCTAGAATCGATAAATTCAATAGATTGAAAGGACGTTTCAACAGTGTTGTCAACTTGCTGGAATCGCCACTGCTTTCCAAGGATAGGAGTCGTTAAAGAGCGATATCAGTGGCGTGGCGCGTTTTGCGATACATCGATTGATCTGCTATTTACACCTATGGAAAAGGATCGATAAACTGGGTGTTCGCAACGTGCACCTTAATAATCGATTCTCCACCATGGCTTCAAATGGACATATATCGATAATTGATTAATCACGCCTCGCCACTGGGCACAATGTAGACAACACCTTCGCATTTAGCAAAAAGGAACCAGCGCAGTTACAGCGTCTTCAACATTGTGCAACTTCTTCTCTTCTTTTAAAAATACTTGATACATGTATATTGTATAGTATTAAAATTTACAAAATTATTTTCCTTTGAAATTAACAATTTTTCGGTGGGAAACGAAAACCATTTGCTTTTCGGGGAGATTTTTAGATAATTATGAAGAAGCACCTTCTGATCTCCTCCTTCGCCCCTTGCCTGATGATCCCATCTATTGCCATCTATTGCACTGGAAAAAAACACAATGGATCCAGAGCCCAGACTCTTAAAAACATCGACAAGAAAAAATACTCTTGATTCAATCGGATTTTTGCTTAAATCAAGAACCAAGCCTCTTCATTTGAGCGGATTTCCTTTTGATTTGAGCTTGAATCTGATTGAATCAAGAGCCTTTTTTTTTTGTCAATGTTTTCAAGAGTCTGGACTCTAGATCCAATGAGCTTTTTTTTCCCCAGTGTGCCTGATGATCTCTGGAAGGATAGGGGGCAATGGCGATTGGGCGTCGCAGAGCGCGAGGCTGCGCTGTGAAAGCGACTTATACAACATTGTAATCGCGCTGGTCCTTTTTTGCTAAATGTGATCCAATTATATGTACAAACGTTAGTAAACTCTCTGGACCTCCTCAAAGAAATCAGCTATTTCCGATTAGAGCATGGCTATAATCAAACACGTGTAAACCATATGTGCTTCCTTAAGGAGCAGTTTTATCTGAAATACGACCAAAACAACGGCTCGGAGTTCGCTCTTGGTGGTGTGGACGCAACATTTGCGAGGGATTCAGGGGGATTAGCCGGTGAGTTCGACAGCGATGGGTGAAAATGAGACAGCTACTGGCTAAAGCGATCCGAGCTGCTCTGTAATTACGATCTAAGCAGCAGGAGGCAACCGGCCGCGTCTGTGGTCCACGCCACTCAAAGCCAACGAGGTACTCAACTCGGCTCAACGGTTATCCATTCGCAATAAAGACTGATCTTCGAGTCTAGCTCCATTTCATTAATCCCCTTCCGGGAGGGTCAACAATGGAGCTCTTGCGCGCGGTGAGGAGTTTCGATTGAGCCATTCTATCTGTGAAATGTCGTGAATATCCCTGCTAAAAATTGGCGATAAGAGCTGCGTTTCAAAATACCATAGGAATTCTTATAGCCGGCTAAAAAAGGCTACAGAAAATCATATAGCTGGCTGTACAATGCGGCCGGGCCGGGCTATACGAAGCGATAAAAAAAATTATGCAGCTGGGCTATAGTTCCTATCGCCGGCCTTTACACTTTATCGCCTGGCTGTTGCTTTTTCGCCATCGATTATAAAATGCTATAAGAAATTGTGTAGAAATTCGTGTGCTTTGGAAATCATTAGGTTTGATACGGAACCACCTTAATATTTACAGAACACACATTATATTGTCCTTTAATTCATATTTTTTTTCATCAATTGAAATGAGAATAATCCATACAGGATGTGCAAACATTTCAAAATCATGAGTTGAATAACGCTGACTCCGCCAGATTAAATATTAGAGCCTAACACAAAGCGGAGCGGCGACGCGCTGGCCCCTACAAACCTAACAGGGATACTTCACGCATTGCGCAACGCGTGAACTATCCCTGTTAGGTTTGTAGGCGCCAATGCGTGTTTCGCGCTGGCTGCCCGCCTGCCACTCCCTATGTCTGCTTAGTCTATCGCTTTGTCTATCAATTTGGGTAATAAGCCCAAAGTTTGATTTATTTTTCTAATTTCAGACATAATAATTCATTGTTTATGTAGGAAAGGATTCGCTATAAAATTTGCAACATACAATAATATTTCAAGCCATACTTCTAGAAAGAATATTCATCTGGAAGATTGCTGTATAGAATAAAACGCTTTTCTCTATTTTTAAGCGAACCCATGTCCCATGTAAAACAGAAATATACTCACCAATCACGATAAAGGAGACGAAGTCCAAGTATTCCCTCGATCAGATTCGCCAAATTAGTTAAATACGGCAACTGCAAACAAAAGAAGGCAAACAATAATAAATCAAACTCCGCATTCGTTTGGAAAATGTATCTTGCGACATAAAATTCTCACTTATTCGTATTCGAACAATGATTGTCCGATTTACATTTTATTTAGTCAATTGTTTGAAATCAGGGATATTCTCTCACGCTGGGATATGTGCACTACCCTACTAAAAAGAGCAAAGTCTATCAGGAGAAAATAGGTATTCACATCGTTTTATTTTAAAGTTCTTCCGTACGCATTTTAAGGAACAAAATTTTTCAAAATTAATGACAAAAATTGAAGTATTAAATGGCGAGAAATAAAGATCATGAGACCGGCCTAGAAGACACTATGTCATTGAACTATCATTTGAGTTCAATTTTATCCTAGCATCTGTCCCACCAAAAGCTTTTTTAAGCATTGTGATTTTCTTCAGCAAAGTAGTATGGCTCTGGCTACGCAAGGAAAGTTTTCTAAGTAATTTTTCATTTGGTCAAAAAAAACCTTTCATGGTGGGATGGGGGTACGAGTACAATCAGGCTTAACTTTGCTCTCTTTTAAAAATAAAAATATATACAATTTTTAAAAAAATGCAGCTGAACCTGTATACTTCAGCTCACGTGATGGGAAGGCATGGTTTCATACGTGATGCACTAATGCAGTGAGACCGAATGTTTACCTCGCAAGTTATACGACCTCTAGGGAGTGAGCATATTATGCCAGATCCAATTGCCTGAGCGTCGAAATAAATCGCGGCGGTTGCATCGATTGCATCGAAAGTTGAGCGGTCAACAGACCGTTGAACCAGTGCGGCTGCGTGTTGACTGTTGAGGTTCTCTGTGCAGGCTATTGAACGCTGAGTTGCCAGCAACTCGAAAATTAACCTGAAATCTCTCGCGAGACTGCACTTAAACATGAAGCGAGAATCCCAATAGTTCTCAGGATCGAGGATGGCCAATAAACTCTCTACAAATTAGAAACTACAACTTCTCCGCTTCTCATTTTTAAAATCTGAAGCCGTAGTAAAGGAATTCCTAGTATTCGCTTGCTTTTTTGCACCATGAAGTACCAAGAAAAACAAGTTTTTTTAAAGCTTATTCGCGCTTCAAAAACGACACTACGGCACAGGTGAACATTTCGAAAGAGGAGTCGTTGCATCCGACCCTTGCGCACTTGGCTGCTACCCAATTTTCAACATGGCCGAAGCCAAACCGGAGAAACACACGTGACGAGACGGCGTCTTATCAATCGACGTGTTTATATTTTCATTTTCCTTGCGTTGATAAAGACCATGTTGCTTCCTAACGATTTGCTCGCGAAAGCGTCAGCTATTTTGAATAGCATGTAGCATCCTAGTGCGGAAGGGTTGAATGGAACGACTCCTCTTCCGAAATGTTCACATGTGCCGTAGTATCATTTTTGAAGCGAGAAGCTTAAAAAATGTATATTTCTTGGACAGATTGTGAAGTTAGGAGTGTGTTTCAAACTTTCACAGCGTGATTTTGGAACCATTTTCCATAAGTATCAACTCTTCTTCTTGCTAAGGTAGCTGGAGTTTGCTTTGGCCCATTCTAGATGAATGATCACTGCGAAATAAAATATGGTAGATTTTACCATACTCTAACACAGTAGTATGCGTAGGGTGATGAATGTCAGAGTCTACGGTAGCATTTACCATATAATTTTATGTATCACCAGAGTTCTGGTGAACACTACAATAATTCGGGTTATTTTCACTAAATACACTGAAAAAAAAGTCTCGGCGTTTTTACCACGGTCCGTTGGCACCTTTACCATCTCACTTTTTTTTACCAATTATTGGTAATTTTACAAAGACAGACTAGTAAGCTTACCTAAAAACCGGTATTTTTACTGTTTTTTCCAGGTAAGAATACCACTTTTATTGGTAATCAATTCCCGGTACCTTTGCTATTTTATCTCGGTAATTCTACCACAGTCGATAAAAAATATTGGTGTTTTTACCAAGGTCCAGTAAATTACCGAGAAAGTTCAATAATTTTACCAATTCCATAAATGGTAACGTTACCAAGAAAAAACTGAGATCAAATAGAACCCTGAATTCTTGGTAATTTTACCCTTTTCCTAGTAAATACACCGAGATTTTTTTTTTCAGTGTGCGTGAAAAAGAGGAAGTTGATTCATAGTCGATATTACCTTACTTTTTATTTCAGTGTAAAGGATAAAAGCTCTTTTTTGAAAACATGTTTTTCCGACGGCGACCCGACATCGGTGGATGGAGCGCGTGAGTGAAGATTTCCATTTCGTTCATCCTGCGCGCGAGGCCTTTTCCCGCGGTGCCCCCTCCGGCCCCCACCCTGCCCCCTCGTGGTCCCCCGTGGTCCCGTGGGACACTCCTCAATTTCCCTCGCTTCTTAATTACCGGTTGTGAGCCTTTATTTAATTGGATTAAACTCCTAACTCTTAAACGGCAAGCGACGGCCCGGTATAATTACGGTCGTCAACCGATAGATAGCGCGGGGGAAGGAATTGCCACATGGTGAAAAAACGATGATATATCATGTGGAAAGCGCACCGGGAAAAAGAAATATCGGTTAAATCACCAACTTCAATTGCCGGAATTCCAAACATTTTACCATCTTCCGGTAAGTTTATCAACTTTTCCTAGTTCGGTAAGAAACTCGGCAAACTAACCAAGAACACGCTAAAATCATCGGAACCTCCACAATCGCAAATCATTGGAAAGCGCGGTGCTTTTACGGCCTTTTCTCGGAAGAAAAAGGGGGGCTCTGAATGCGGTTTATTTTCAACTTTTCCAACTTTAGGTGGATCCTCAGCTTTTGCCCAATGCATTCTGGATACGATCGATGTATCCCAAATTTTAACTTTTACGTGAATCATTTCGGGAAAATCTAAATTTCAATCCGTAGAAAACTCATTGAAGAATATGCGTACCGAAAATTATCCTCCAAAATTCTAAAACAAAGTCAAAAGTACTGTTTCCATTTAACCATCGATATCGAAACATTGAATTTGGTTGCAAAATGGAAACAGCACTTTTGACTATATTCCGAGATTCAGAAGGATGATTTTCGGAGTGTTTATTCGTCAATGAGTTATCTACAGACTGAAATCCAGATTTCCGTGAAAGTAATTCACCTAAAGGTTAAAATTTCGGATATATCGATCGTACCTAGAATGCATTGCGCAAAAGCTAGAGGTTCCTAAAACTTTTGTATGAAGTTATGTTTTAATTTTTTGAATCAAACGACACATCGAACCACTATCGAATGCGATCGATCAAGAGTACACCCACGATGGAGCAGAAATCCAGGGTTCGGAGCACCACGTGGCAACGCGGAAGGGGGCTAGGGGCGCATAGCATGAGCATCCCAGTTTGTGATTACCACGACCATTGGACTTGTAATAGCCACTACTCAGAGCTGAAGCTACGAGCGTCCACGCACAAGTCAGCATTGAGCAGTGAGCACTAGGGACGTTTCTATCCTGGCCCTCTCCCCCGGACGGCGAGGCTTCGATGCCTTGAATATATTCCGCAGCTTGGACAATCTGCAATGAGCAGTGGACCATCAGCGGCCATCCACCTGTCTTGAGTCTCCTCACACGGAGACCTCGCTGTTGCCCATCAGCAACTTTACCTACTGGGGCAAAAAAATTGAGGTAGGATAATGGCGGGTATGGCAGAAATTCTCGATTTTTTCAAAATTGCTAAAAGCGCGTTGGTTCTCCTATGCTAAATGCAATCCCGAAAGGCTCCTTGCGTCAGCAGAGAGGGGATTCGTGGGATAGGATACACTGGGAAAAAAACACATTGGATCTAGAGTCCAAACTCTTAAAAACATCGACACTAAAAAATACTCTTGATTCAATCAGATTTAAGCTTAAATCAAAAGGAAATCCGCTCAAATTATGAGGCTTGGTTCTTTTAGAGAGTATTTTTTCTTGTCAATGTTTTCAAGAGTCTGGACTCTAGATCCAATGTGTTTTTTTCCAGTGTAAAGAATCAAGTGTCGTTTTTTGCTTCTCTTTGATAGAAGTAGATTTTCTTAAAAATGTGTCTCCATACACTGACAAAAAGCCCTTCTCCCTCTCATATTTGGTTCTTTTTTCGCAAATACATCCTCTTCAAATCTCAAATTCTGTCAGGGTTCTGATTTCTGGCTGATTTTTCAGTTTTATTTCTGATATTAATGCACAATATATAGGACTATGAAGACTTTTAAAATAGTCCTTAAGAGCACAGCTCGGGTGAAAATCCCGACTTTTTTCTACTCTCTATTCGATAAAGTCATTCGGATTATAGTAATACTCTTTTCACGGAAAGAGAAAAGTTGAATATATCCTTTCTAGAGGAGTTTTTGGCATAGGTGGATAAGGGGGGTGAAGTGGATGCGCATCTCTTCCTCTTCCTCCCGGTTGCCTGGCAAAAGGAGGAAGGCAGAGGGAAGAATGAAGAGAGGAGGAAGAAATAGAGGAGAAAAAGGGAGGATGTGCAGATTTGGTCACTATTCATGACAAAATTGACTCGAACTGCATATTAAATGTTCAAAACTTTCGAAAATTGACTGGGGAAAGCTCCAAGGCCCCCCTTCCACCCCCCGTTCGTAAGTTCTGGATCCGCACTGAAAAGAATCTTACGGGTTATATAGAAATGCCGACAGTTCCGTTCCCACAACCAGAGACCGAAAGTTCCGGGTGCTGGATTCGTAGCTTCGACTGCGCGGGGTGCTACACCCGGAATTTTCGGCTTCCGAGCCCGACTCGCGGACAGTATGTCTTGTAATACCCGTACGCGGGGAAAAAAACTTCGTGCATGGGACCCGAAGTTTAGGTCATATGGATCTCTGAAGTTTTCGGATTGAGCATCTGAACACTCTAGGTCCAGCTGCTGAGGTTTGGATCACACATCTGAAACTTCAGTTCTTACATCTGAAGTACTTCGGTTATCACATCCAAAAAACTTCGGTTCTCACATCCGAAAAACTTCGGTTCTCACATCTGAAGT